TGTATTGCTAATAATACATTGCTCATAAACTTATCTTTGACTTTGTATTGCTAATAATACATTGTTCATATACTTATTTTCAATCTCGTATTGCTGATAATATGAATATTATATTTTATATTTGACTTCAAAGATTTAAAGACAGTTTTAATACGTATATTATATTTGACATTTAGATTTTGAGAATTCTTTTTAGCAGTCCAGTTATTGCATTAAAAGAATATAACTGTTAAGTGATTTTTATAAATACTTATTATACTTTAATTTATATTTAGTCTAAAACCATAAATTATTATTCAGACTATGAATTATCGTTAAGACATTCAAGTTTTTTCTTTAAATATCATAAATACTCTTGAGTATTTCAAAGTCCCATTAAAATGATAACAATATTATAAATATACTGTTATTATTATTTTAGACTTATTATAATTATAATATAATACTTAAAGTATTATATTTAACTATATTATCTATACTCTCTTACTTGTTATTATTAATACATATTATTATAATTATTCTGAATAAATAACTTATTATAATATTATAGACTCTTCTCTAGTTTTTTCAAGAACTTATAAAATATAATAATAATATTAAATAATATTATAAAGTTTCAGTAACAAAATATATTAATAGAAAAATTTATCTTTAGATTGTAAATTATATGAGATAAATATTTTCAAGTTTATATGAAAACATGTTTTTAAATATCTTGATATGATTGAAGATAATAATTGCAGTTTTTATATTATTGCTATATCGATTGGAAAATCTGAAGACTATTGATCAGATATCCAAAAATTTCTTTGTAATAAACTTTATAATTGTAGAACTTATTATATTCAGATATTTTTGAAAGAAGATAAGTATAACAAAATATTGTCTGTAATACAATAGAAAGCTGGCTCTTGTAATAATAATTATTGGATAATTATATTATCTTTTGATTATATTATTATTAATACTTTCCAGTAATTTGTTCACTATTTTAGCAAACATATTTCATTTACATTTCTTTCTAATAATGCATTATTGAACTGAAATTCATCAATTATCTTTGTCTACATAGCTGAAAAACATATGTTTTGAACAAAGCAAGATGTAAAAAAATCTGTTCTTGACAAGAATTATCTGTTTTGAAAAGAAAGATATAAAAGAACAGATATTTACAAAAAGAAAATCTAGAATGCAATATTATCATAGATTTGACAAAGAAAAATTAATATAAATATATTATCATTATATTATTTTTATCACTAAAGTAAAACTATGTCAACAATATTATTTATTTATTGAATAATTATCTTATTTACTTTGTAATGTTCATAATTGTTATATTTATTTTTCTATAACATTATATGAGTTCGTACATGCAATATCACGTGCATCCATCCGATCCATTTGTACGTGCAATGTCACATGTTTGGTACGTGTTCGTAGATTCTCTTTTTCGCCATGGCTAGGGTACTCTATATTTCATATATGACGACATGAGTTATGTCCTCTTGTTACTTTGTTCATCGTGAAGAGTTAGACTGCTTCCAGAGATAGGTGGCATTACATTTTCAAATGAACTTGATATCCAACCGTGACTCTGATTTTTTTGATTTCTCAACAACAAACACGTTGAGTAACAGAAATAGCAACAACTCTACAAGGTTGCGTAGCAAGAATATTACAACGTATTCCAATTTTTTCTTTATTGCTTCTTCCAGGATAATTTACGGCAATTGAGTGATCTTACAACAGCCAGTTGATGCAATTCTGGAATTCTCTTCCATAGTTTCATTATTGTCTTGGCATTGTGTAATTAAACATCACGCATCTTTTTAGTTTCGTTTAAAGTTAAATATTTCAGAAAAGAATCATAAAATTGTGCAAGTTTTGCGTTAAAAGCTTTTGTTGCTATATATTAGTATTCTGATCAATCCGAAACCAAACTGTAACCGGACTGATCCAAACTGAAACCGAACTGAAAAATCATTTCGATTCGGTCCCCAAAAAATCGGTCCAACCCGAAATAATATTCTGCAGTGCGAGACTATTATTTTACGATTCATCAATCTTGCTGCATATGGATACTACAAATTCCAAACACTTTTCGGACGCGATATTTCGACATCCAGTTATTGGATTCGAAAATACTACCATTTGATTTGTTATCCGAAAGTTGCCATTTGTTGAACCATTCATCGATTTATATCAAAATTTTAACGAATGGTAACCTTCGAACGCGATATCTCGAATCCAGCTATTGGAATCAAATAAAAATACCATCATTTGATTTAACACAACTAGACAAATCGAATGGTGATATTTTTTGTGTGAATCCAATAGCTGGATGTCAAGATATCATGTCCGAAAGTTATCGTTCGTTGAAATTTTGATACAGATCAATGAATGGTTCAACGAACGGTAACTTTTGGACGCGATATCTTAACACCCAGTTATTGTATTTGTATAAGAATACTACCATTCATTTGTTTAGTCATGTCAAATTAAATAGTAGTATTTTATGCTAATTCAACAATTTGGCGTCGAAATATTGTGCTCAAAAAATGGCTAGAAACTTTTTGTAGAAAATATGAAAGTTTTTTGTCTTATGCCTTCGATACTCTGTTTGTCCTTGGAAATATTGCAAAACTTGATAACTGAATTGTTCCGTTCATTCAGTCGGTTTATTAAGAAATCTGGTTAATTTATTATAGACTGTATCGAGTATTTACAGATTCATTCGCTTAAATTTCGGATCAACCTGAACCCGACACGTATTGTCCAGTTCGGTTCTTTGATTTTTGGATTGCGATACGAACTGAAAATTCAGGTTAGTTTCAGGTCGGTCTCAAACCCGAACCGAACAGGACACTACCGTAATTTGCCGTTTAGAATACCCCCCTATAACACTGTATCCCCTATGAATTGTACTGGGTCTAATTCATAGATTTCAATATTGGTAAAATGTATTATATCTGGGTATTATAATTTGCCATTTAGAATATCCCTTCCATAACATCATATCCCCCCATGAATTGTACTGAATCTAATTCATAAATTTTAATATTGGTAAAATGTATTATATCCAGGTATATTATAAATTTAAACTTTGTATCCTTTATTTTATATATTAATAATATACTCGAGTCTAATTCCATACATTTGTAAACTCAACTATTTCGATATTATAATATTCATCTTCAGAATTATCAATTATTTCAACAAAGTCATCCAAATTACCTGAATTAATACCTTCATTTCCCAAATTATTATCTTCATTTTCAATTATAAGATTTTGATCAGACCTTTGAGATTGTTTAATCCAACCATAATCAAAAATACAATTATCTTTAGTTCCATTACAGGTATTAGAAATGTCATAATACTTGAATGAATACTGTTACAAGTGAGTTTTTAGAGGATTTAGTACTAAATTAATGTGAATAATGTTATGCCAAGATAGCTAAACTCAATCATAACATGGGTTTGTTAGCTAATAAATATGTATTATTTTTTTATTTTTATTATTATTATTATTATTACTAAAAGATATTATGAATTTACTTAGTGTAGATATATTCTAAGTGTGCTTTATATCCTTAGCAATGTGATTAAAAATAAGTTAAATAAATTAATATACTCAAAGTAATTATACGCAAAAAAATAATTGTAAAGGAATATAATTAGATTTCAAGTTTATTAATTTTGATATAATAATTTTATAGAACAAGTTATTTTTGCTAATTGTATCTTGATCAATTAATATCTTTTTCAAAATGTCAATTGTTTTTTTATTTATAGTACAAATTTTTATTATACATAAATATATTGAACTAAATATTTTGATTAAATGAAATAAATATAATAAAACATAAAAATTATAAAAAAATAAAAATATATAAAAATTATAAAAATATAATAAATTATATAAATTATATAAAATTTATATAAATTATATAATTTTATGCAAATTATGCAGATTATGCAAATTATACAAATTATAAAATTAATTAAAATAATAATAATAAATAATTAATAATAAATAATAAATCACATGTAAAATCATATGTACAAGTCATATATTAAAATTACATATCAAAATTATATGTTACACATAAAAGTTACATGATTTCAAATTCATCCAATAGAAATATAAATAAATAATTAAATTAAATAAATTTAATTATTAAAAATAATAAAAATAATAAAAATAATTAATTATTAATAAAATAACTATGTTATAGACTATTTGGATTATAACAGCAATTAATAAGATAAGTATCAACTTAGTTCCATGCAATTTTTACCTATTCAGTAACAATACTATAACTTGAACGTTGTATGTATCAGAAGGTGTCAAATTTTTTGTTTCTTTTGCTATCTAATTATTATATAATTGTTATACTAAATAAATATGTAAGTTAATACATTGAATAAATAATATAAAAATATTTAACTTTACCTTTGATTTAAATGTTTATATATACGTCTAATAGTTGAAGTTTGCTGGTCAATTCACCCAGAATTACGGTCATGTTTGTATTTTTTTCATTGAATCGATGTTTGACAGGATCAGTCAAATGATCACGAAAAGAATCCAAAACCAATAAAGAGTGTGGATTGTCCAATAATAGTGCACATTGACTCCATACATTTTCGATCCACCAAATCATTTCATTACTATTCATATATCCTTCTCGATTGGTACGAATTATTACTCCAGCAGGAAACTTTTGGCGTGGAACATTGACCAATTTAAAAATCAATACTGGAGGTAACTTTTTGCCATCAGCCATACATGCTAATACAACGGTGAAATTGGATTTTTCGTGTCCTGTTGTCCGAATGCTAACAGTACTCGCTCCAGTTTCTTTAATAGTTGTATTATTAGGAACATCAAAGGTAAGTGATGTTTCATCCATGTTTCCGATTAGTGCCAAAGAATAATTGTGTTGAATGCGTTGATATAACACAAAACTTAAAAACTGATGTTGTGTTGACTCTAACTCACTTGGTAGTAGTTTTTACAACGCCGAATGCTGAGATGGTAGCAGTTCATAAATTCATCCAACCACTTGTCACTCCATTTATAATCACCAATATTTGGATAAATTGCAAGAAAGCGTGATGTTTTCGCCAAAGATTTCGTCTTAGAACGAACTATAAAACGTGATACAACCTTTTGTTTCGGCGTAAGGATCTCACCCAAATAACAAGGTCATCCTCTAATATTGGATATCGGGGCTTCGCACCAGGAGTAAGTCGTTTCATTTGAGGTCTTATACGTTTCAACGCTTTGTGTTTATATATCCAGTCTCAGATTTGTTTAGGTTGAACATCAAATTTTTCTGCTGTATTACGTTTGTTAGCACTAGGTTTATTTTCGAGATAAGCGAGTATGGCCAATTTTTCGCGTGCACTCCAACTGCGTTTTTTGGTTTTAACATTTGTTATGCGAGTAAAATTTTTGGTATAACGCACCATTTTCCTATTATATTTTTGTTAGACTGGTGATTAAAAATTAATTTTAATTTAATAAAAATGATACTTTACCAAATTAAAGAATTGTTACGCGTTCAATGTATATGGTGAAGTCAATGAAAGGAATGGATATAGAAAATTAGGCTATAGAAATGAGAATTATTGTGTTGTTAAAAGGAACAACTTATCCATTTGTATTTATAGTAAGATAATTGAAAAGAAATTATGCGTTTTTTGCTGGTGTGTGAGTTTCTTTTATGACTAAACAGTTTATATAAATAATTGTATTTTAAACCAGTATCTTGTATTGATAATATTATTTCTTATCATTCTATCATTTGCATCATCTGGTCTGGTATAGTAAAGTTTTTTATGCAACAACGTAATTATAGAAAAATCAAGAAGTTTACGCACGTTAGGAAAAAAGGAAAGATCGATCTGCGTATCGGAAAAATTTAACGCGCGCGTTGCATTAAATACTACTCTATAAGTACCCACCATGAATTATACCCCCTCAATATTGTATCCCTCGAACACAAACCCCCCACTTTAGAGTACCCGATGCTGGACAACGAACTCCCCGGGGTACAAATCGGTTTTCAGTCCGTGGAATGTAACGTACCCGGGGTATTCTAAACGGCAAATTACGGTAGTTGCTATTCTTTTAACTTGAGATGTAGATTCAATTTCATTTAGCGGATAAGGATAAAAAACATCGTATATCATACGTTCTCTTCACCATATTTAAAGGAACTAAAGGCAATGATCTTTGCTTCCATCTTTGCCTCTGGTTTTTTCGAATTTTTCTCATAGTTGAGGTGATTCTTTTCGCAAACCAAGCACGGTCGCTGAGCACTCACTATAACGGAATTTTGACAGTACGATCAAAATCATATTACTTTACTAAAATTATGATGCGGTTTTTTGGCTCAAAAATCTACTATTTACTATACACGATTCAATCTAGTTCATAAATCTTACTAAATTATGCATTTTAACATTATTTTTCTGACTTTCAATGCAACCATTATCTTACTATGCATGATTCAGAAACGGCAGCATTCAAAGGGTTGATTTTATTTAACTATTTTATAACGTGTGATCCTGCTTATAATAAAGTAAACGATCAATTGTTTAGCTAGACTATTTAAATAAACTTGGGATTTCCTTTTTCGGTTTTAATATACTTCGACTTTATTTCTTTAGAATATTATTCCAAGCAAAATTAGTATTTACCTTACCACCTTCAACATTAAAGAACATCATGACTAGCAAGGCAGGTGGTAAAGAAAATCCCGCTGAAGCGTCTAGAAATGCTCAAAGGAAAGAATCGAGCTCACGCTCAAAGAAAGTATGTAATACATTTTAATAAAGAGAAACCAAGCAATAAAAACGCTATAAAGGCTATTTTCCAATAAAATACTTTTTTATTTTAATAATTATCATTTCAATGAAAACAAAAAAGGCGGGACTTACTTTCCCAGTCGGACGTCTCCACCGTAAACTTCGTACAGGAAAATTCAGATTTCGAATTGCAAGCGGTTCGCCAGTGTACTTAGCGGCCGTGTTGGAATATCTTGTCGCCGAAATCGTAGAATTGGCTGGAAACGCCGCTCGCGATAATAGCAGGTCTCGAATCACTCCTCGCCATCTCCAATTGGCTATTCGCAACGATGAGGAATTGAATAAATTGTTGGGAAACGTGACTATCGCCCAAGGAGGCGTCTTGCCTAATATTCATGCGTCCTTATTGCCTAAGAAAAGCAAAAACAGGGAAAATTCTGCTGGTGAGTGAGTTATTGATCAAAATTTTTTGTCTATTTTTATTTTATATTTTATATTTTTTTATTTTATATAAAATGCACTTGGATAAAGCTTCGGGTTCAAGTACTGCAAAGAAAAAAACCGTAGTTCATTCTTCCTCTGCTTCACGAAATAATCAAAATAATACCGAGGGCGAAGAACCGGAAGATGATCAAGCCGAAGACAATGAAGAAGCAGGTGACCAAGAACAAGATACGCCAATGGAAGAAGATAATCTTTGAATTTAATAATCAGTTACGGTTATTTATGTTTACTATTTTAATTGATTATTTTCATGTATGTGTTACCGTACATGTACGTATAGTGGGGGTAATTGTAAAATCGTAGATCGATATTATCATTATGTTTTTTCCTATTTGCGTATTTATTGGTACTAGTATCTGTACATTGCTTAATGCGCATGTATGTGCATAGCGATAGCGATAGAGGCAAAATGAGAAAACGAGTACATGTAATTGGTATAAATTTTATTTATATTTTTAATACTTGACATTTATTCTTATATGAGGAAATTCATATCGACATACATGTATATTAATTATTGCTCAATATGTATCAGTTGTATAAACAAATCATATAAGAACAAGATTTCCAAAAAAAAATAGAGTTTTGTGGAAATATTAAAGACATGTATGTACATATCATAAATGCGTACTGTAGTGTATATCGATAACAATATGACGTTAAGCGAGAAGTTCCAAAAAATATAAGTAGACAAAGTAGAGATTTTCGTAACATACATAATACATGTACATGCTCTTATTAACCAACAGGAATCAAACCGAATTTAAGTGGTTACACTTGTATTTAGAGAGATTCAAGATTTAAAGATCGTAACGGTAACGTAAAAAACGCAAAACTTTATTTTATCATTAGTATTATGTCAGCGAATGAGATTCACCTATCGTTATAAAAACTACTCTTAATTCAGAAAAGATAAACTATAACAAAACAATTTATAGTTAGAAGGAATAAAAGATATACAGAATGGACGAAGATTTATTTGAAAGTTATGTGATGATAGATGGTCGTAAATTTATTAATGGTCATAGAGCAACTTATCCATTTCCAAGGTACATACTACAATTAACAACTATGATAAGCAAACTGAAAAACAATCTTTTCTCTTGGATCTTTATAATAACAAGAGATGTATGCTTTTTTAGCGATGAAATAGAAGCTAATCGTTTGAATAATAGGCATTTTCGAATAAGATGGATATGGAAAGAGAATTTTGCAGCGCCAATTAAAGAAAAACTAATTGCTGGTAAAATGACAGCTCTCGACATTGGGTAAATAACATATCAAAAATAATAAATTCTCGCATGTGTCATCGAGGACGCAATATTTATTACTTTTAGTTTATCAATAAAGATGCGGCACAGGTGCATGGATAGTCGATATGGCAAAAGAATACCAAAAATCATCTTTTGTTGGTGTGGATTTGATGAGTTTATTCCCAAGCACAGAGCAAACACACGAAAATGCTTTATTTTTGCAAATGAACGTGTTGGATCGACTTCCATTTGACGACGACTCTTTTGATTTTGTTCATCAACGTGATTTGACGCACGCCTATACAGAGACACAGTGGCAAAATATTGTGATTCCTGAGATTGCGCGAGTTACAAAGAGCGGTATGTATTGTGAGTTTTATGAGGAAAGTGATAAGTGGGAAGATCAAGGTCCTATTTATGAAAATATTTCGAATACGTGTAAGTAATTTCAAACATATCTTTAATATTATTTAAAGATAATGATTTATTAATTTGGGTGAATTTGGCAGTTTCTCATATAATGGCCACTAGAGGCGTCAATTCATCAATAGCCACACGAATTGAGGCGTTTCTCAAGGAAAGTGGACAATTCACCGATATTAACGTTCTCATTGAACGAATGCCCGTTGGTAGTTATGCTGGTAGAATTGCAGAACTGGTAGGATCCTAAAATATTCTATATATAATCTTACATCTAATTTATAAACTAACAAATCAAAATTAGACACTTGAAAATACTCTGAATGAATTAACCGGACTAAAACCGATATTGAAGGCTCCACTTGGCGAAATAACGGATCAAGAATTCGATAATATGATCGAAGAGATACGTAAAGAGTGTGATGAGTATAAGACATGGTTTAAAGCTTATAGGTATTAATTTTGTTTTGAATTTATCATTTAATTTTTTAAATTAATTATTTATTCTTTGTATTTTCTTTTGTAGGATATATGCAAGAAAGATTTAGATATTAGTTTTTTGTTTCTTTTATAGTAATAAATATAAATGTACATGAAAATTCAAAAAAAAAATACACTCTGGATTCATATCAATATGTCGCTTATAAACTCGCGTATATTTTCAGCGGGATAAGCCACCCATTTTCCGAGGTAACGTGTGTGATCTTTGGAAGTTGTATGGGCTTTGTTTTTTTTTAATAATTTTAGCCGTAGTACAATAAAAGTAGTAAGTACACGTATGTTATTTCACAGCACGCCGTTGGATTCTATTTTTTATTCCAGTGACAAATCCCCGTAAAAATATTTCGCGGGCGATTAGTTAACGTGGCGAATTGCCGAAATGCAGGTCCAGCTCAGTGGATGATGATTTTCTGTAACAGAATTCTATAATAAACACAGCATTATCTCAAAGCAATGTAGAATGGCACAGAATTCTTATAGTTTAGAATTTTCTTTAATAAAAATCACAGAATCTGCAAAATAAAAGTTTATTTCAAGATCCCGCGAAACGACTAAATACATGTAGTATTTCAATGGAGTTTATATATAATATGCTTTGCTTCTTTATTTTTTTTCTATATTTGTGTATTTTATTCAAATTAAAAATTTCTTTTTTTAAAAATTGGACGCGCGTCCTACATTGTTTAATTTTCCACCACAGAATGTAGTGTCGGTATCACATACAGAATTCTCCTAATACATGTAGTACCAGATTTCGTATACGGTTCCCACTGAACAAACAAACATAAATTGATTCAAAAAACCAAATTTTATAAATTAACTCTAACTACCAGACTTTGTAATCCGCAACAATTCTTGATTGATTACGATAGCTTCCCAGTCATTTATGACGTGATACTTATCGAGAAATGTAATATCGATATATATTAACGTCATAGAATTAGAATTACATCCAATTAAGATTGAATAATCATTTTACAAACCATGCGCCAGGACCACATATCACATCCAAGCATTTAATCACGTTCTCTAATTGATCTAATTACTTGCACGTACACCGACAACATCAGCGTACTTGGGATCAATGCCTATGATTATGCACTACTACATGTTTATTAATTTTTGTCATACATACGTATGTGTCTTTATATGCAACTAAATGGATGAAGTATATACGGAGAATTATGCAAATGTAATTAATTTATACGAATGCTTCATGGTTTTAGATTGTAATTAATGTTGGTCAAAGTATGAAAAAGTAGTCATTTCATGAAAAAGTGCTGTGATTTTTTATAGGATAGAAAAATCGAATTGTCCACTTGTTAATAAAATTATAAATAAATTGAATTGTAAAATAAAAAATGAATCGCGTCACTTTGTCTAATAGAAGTAAAATTACGTTAAGGCCATTCTAAATTTTCAAGTAGGATATCAGTTACATAAGTCGTGTTTGGTTTTAATATCCCATTTTATTGTAATATACACTCATTATTTCTTCCATGCCTTACAAACTGTAAATTGTGAGTAAATAAATAAATAAATAAATTAAATAGTAATAAATTAACCTTTGATAACACTAAAATCTATTCATAGTTTGAAATAAGCAAACCAAAGCAATGATAGCTGAATAAGTAGAGACAAAGGATGAAATGTCCGCTTGATAAGATGCACCAGAAGCAGACGCCGTGTCACCACTTGTAGGTGAAGTGGTAGTGGTAGGAGCGGTAGAATCTGTTGTATTTGTACCATCAGGGTTAGTGGTAGCAGGAGTATTAGTATCATTTTTTGATGTTGTTGGTGATGACGTAGTAGGAGGATTAGGTGACGTACTTGTTCCATTAGTGACAACTTTTCCGGTGGCAAGGTCAAAAGTTGTGTCGTCCAATTTATTCCAATTCAGTTTATCTTGTACAACTAATGACATAACTTTCCATTGTCCAGTTTTAGCAGCACCAGCATTATACGAGAGTTTCATCGGAAGCTTTTTTAGTGTAGCATCTTTTTGTGTTAACGTGTTTGTTCCAGTGCCACCACACGCTTTTGCTTGGAGACCTGTCGGAACAGTAAAATCACCAATTCGATCACCTTTAGCATTAACAACATAAACTAGAAGACCTTTTATCGATTTTGGCCCATTGAGTGTAATATCATAGGTTGCACCATTCATTGCAGTGGAGATAGTGAATCCATTAGGGCCACCGGAATTAGGCTGTAATGAAGCGCCATGCCCTTTTGAAATTGCAGCTGGGTCAGCGTCACATGTACCGGCCCCATTTGGGAATGCATTGACGAGATAAGGGGCTGCGAGAAATGTAGCGAGAATTGGTAAAAGATTTTTGAATAGCATGGTTAGAGAAAAGTAAGTTATTAAATGAGAATTTATAATGTGAGGTTGACTGGTATATTTTTATTACTCAAAGGTTTATTTTAAAAGAATCGTCCGGCGATTCTATCTATTGATAAATGCAAGAAATGAAAGAATGTATAGAAGAAAACTATGTTTATTTGCTTTGATTTTTTTTCTAAATTGGAGGACTTAACAATTGCTTTTATACAGTTTTTCCTGTTAAAAAAACTATCCGAAAATAATGTCTTTATTCTAAATGGATCAGCTAAAAACGATGGGATGATACACTGAAACCATAAAGTTTAGTCATCAATTTAATTAATTACAATCATTTACCTTTTCGGATTATCCGACCGAAGTGAAGTTTCGATTTTACTATAAACCGAAAATGTCAAAATAAGATGTGATATTAAGTGCTTTTAGAATAGAACACATGTCGAATAAGATAATGACAAATAGAAAAATAGATTCAGGTTTCAACTTTGTATCAAACTTTGATTCGTACATTATGCAAACTGTTGGATTTTATATAATATCTAAAAGATATATAATCGCGGTGAAAATGATAATGTTGTTTCAACTATGTCATATAAAATTTGATCTCCAATAGGATACTTGATTTTTTTTATTTTCTTTCTTGAAAATCACAATTGTTTCTTTAGCATTGTAGAAATATATAAAGAGAATGAATACGATTTTTTCAATGATTGTAATAACGATAAGCAAAGAACAGGGGTTGAATCTCTAATGCCTGACTTCAATATGCAAAACGTCGATTTTATTCATAAATCCTTCATTCTCCCATTCCGGGATTTCCGTATTTGTACAAACATGCCGTAAAAATTTAGATAATAACGATAATAATGAATGACACCGATACTCGCAAATTTCGGTAAATTTCGAGTCTATTAGTTGTTGTACATGCATTTGTATTAAAGGACTTCTTTCATCGGCCTAATTTTTTAAAAGTTTATTAATAAGCTAATTTAATTCATTAACACAAAATTTTATTTAATTTGAAAAGATTTGTAAGTTGGTGATTATTACTATTCTCATTTAACGATAATTGAAAGAGACGCCGTTTTTAGTACAGGGTGATTGAAGGCTAAATAACTTCGTGCAAAACATTAAAATATACTGATGATTTGGTTTTTGGTATTTAGTATCAAAATAATATGAGATTGATCGTGAAACTTATAATTTGATTGAAGAATCCATATTTTCAAGGCACTTAATAAGGGCAGTGATGCTTCCAATTAAATTTTTTTGCTATTGAACATAGTCTCTCCAAGAACATCACTGCCTAAGGGAGTATATCAAGCTGCAAAGGGTTCCAAACCTATTAGTCGCACAGCTCATACTTAATTTAGCACGTTTTTTTACCATTGAAGTGAGGAAGATTAATAAATACAAAAATAATATATACGACTTCCCGTTACTTGATAATGTGCGATTCTTACATAAAAGGAAATCAATTTCGGTATTGGTATAAACTATATAAATTTATGTGAGTATCAATTTAATAGTAGAATTTGTGGTTTAGACATAAATTTATACTAAAATTACTAATTTTTCTGTGATCCAATGTGAGAGAGAGCGTGATCAGGTCGTTTACTGCAGGATTTTCAGTATCTTTACGTAGTGAAATCACTTCGAAATTCTATGTTGATTTATTATCCGAATTTTCTTGATTTCGCTGTTGAGGGTTGATGGAACAAAAATTTTACTTTCAAAGAGAAAATACATTTGAGATGCATTAGTATCTGAAAACACCTGTAAAATTATGGTGTGAAATTTCTTATAGGGACTATTATTCTAGATGAAAAATATATAACCAATCATGCTCATCTCACATAAGTTATTCAAGTTTTTGAAGTTCTTCAGAAAATGCAAAAGAAGAAAAGTGCATAGTACTTCAATTAGCTCAAGATCACAACTACAATCTATTACAAAAAAGCACATACTGTAAAATGTGACATCGAGTATTCAAGATATGCTATACTTTATCCTATAGAACTTGTTGTATATTTGAAAGGATATAGTACAGAAGAAAATATATTATATACAGTGACAATCGAAAATAATGCAACACAAAAAAATTATTAATAAAACATAGTAAAAATACGAAAAATGCGGGTTTTTCTCTTTATATAAAAGTTTTTAATTTTACTAATCAATATTTTTTACTTCAAATAAAGACAATATTACATATCTTAATATATATTTTTTTCAGATTTTTTAGATTTAATCTGATAAAGTTGTTCTAATTGCATATAAATCAATAATTTTTTTATATGTTTTTATTATAAAAAAGTATTGACTTTATATGTAAAGAGAATAACTCATATTTTTCACATTTTACTATATTTTATTAATAATTTTTTTTTGTGTTGCATTATTTTCAATTGTCATTATAGATTAATTTTTACAAAAATTAAAACATATTTGATTATAATTAAAAAGTATATATTTTATTAAAAACCTGACCTATCTCTTAAATCATTTTATTATAATAAAAATACTTATATTAACAATAACTAAAATAGAAATAATCTTTTAAACAATTTATTATATATACAAATCTATAAAATAATTAGTTATAGAATTTTGATCTTTAAAATAAGAAAATTAAAAATTATAAATACAAGCAAAAATTTAAGACAAAATATTTTAGCATTCAATTTATATACTAGATGATTTAAAAAATTAATAAAGATAAAATTTAACAATAATTTATTTATAGATTTTATTTAATCATAATAATTTATAACTTATTTTAATAGTAAACAAAACTCAAACTGAAATTATTTGAATAATTTAAATTCAATTTTTTTTAATTCTAAAAAATTATAAAAAAATAGAAAAATAAAAAAATTATTTAATAATTTTGTAATATAATATTTTATAATTATAATTAGTATAAAAATAATAATAGACATGTTTTTTACTTATAACTTAATTAGAAAATTTTTAAAAGTTATAAAAATTTGTAAATAATATTAGAAACAAGATTTCTTAATACTATAAAATATACTAGTATAATAATATAATAATATTTTGTCGAATTTTGTATCAAATATAATAAATTATAATTTTTAATAATTAAAATAAAATAAAATTTTATTTAAAAATATTTTTAATAAGAAATTTTGAAAAGAATTTTTATTATTTAAAAAAACTTATTTTAATAAATTGTTTAATAAAATGAGATTTTTATTATGTTATACTATATGTTTTATTAAAAAATTTATCAAAATAAATTTTTTTTAAATAATATTTATTAAATAAAAATAAATTAAAAAAATTTTTTTAAATTATAAATATATTTTTATAAAATTTTTTTTAAAATTTCTTATTAAAAATATTTTTAAATAAATTTTTATTTTATTTTAATTATTAAAAATTATAATTCATTACAAATTTCACAATTTTTAAAAATTTTTTAATTAAGATATATATAAGCAAAAAATCTATTTGTTATTACTTTTTATACTGACTATACTAATTCAATTTTAACAAAAATATATTATTTAAATTTAAATTTATAAATTATATTTCAAAATTATTAATAAAAATATCTACTAAAATCTTTTCAAAAATATTTTAGCAGAGTTTTGATAAATTATATACTAATTATTAATTCAAAACTTAATAAAATTTCAGCATCTTATTAACTAATAGTTTATTATTAAATAAAAATAAAGTTATATATTTGTTAAGCTTTAATAAAATAGTAAAAAATATATATTAAAATATAATTTATAAAAATAAAAAAATATTTATTAATAAAATTGAAAACTTTTATATAAGATAAAAATTTTAATTTTTATTATATTTTATTAATAAAATTATATATATAATTCTATTAGTTATTATATTTTATATTTTTCTTTATTTTTTATTAATTTTTATATTTTTAAATTAGAATAATTTTAGTAAATATTGATATAAAATTTAAATATTTATTTTTTATCATTATTATTTTAAGTTAATTTTCTAATTAATAAATAAATTTGTAATAATATAATAAAAAAATTAGAAAATTATATAATTTTAATAATAAAATTTTCTGAATTATTAATACTATTATAATAATAATTTTGATTTTAATAATTATATTAATATTTTTTTAAATATTTAATTTCTTAAATAAATAATTATTTTTATATAACTTTTTAACAAACTAATATTTTTTATATTATATTTATTAATAAATACAAATATATAATATTTTAGTTTTAAAATAAATTATTTAAAATTTTAATTAAACATATATATAATTATTTAGATTATTAATTAGAAAACAAGAATTTTTTTTGATTTTTAAAAAGAATTTAAAAAATAACAAAATAAAACTTTGAATATTATTATTATTTTATATATAATTACAATTAGAAATAATATAATAATATCAAAATTTATTAATTAAATATAGTAAAATATAAATTTTTTTCTTTATATAAAGTTTTTAATTTTTTAATAAATATTTTTATTTTTATATTAAAATAAAGATAATATTATATATTTTAATATATATTTTTTTCAGATTTTTTATATTTAATTTGATAAATTTGTTCTAATTGTATATAAAATTAATTATTTTTTATAATTAAAGCATTAAAAAATAATTAATTTTATATATAATTAAATAGCTTTATCAAATTAAATCTAAAAAATCTGAAAAAAATATATATTAAAATATATAATATTATTTTTATTTTAATATAAAAATAAAAAATATTTAAAGAAAAAATTATTTTAATTAATAAACTTTAATTATTTTTAATTGTCATTATATAAGTAAAAAAATTATAAATAATATAATATAACTTTATAATTAAATAAAAATTAAAATATTAGTAATATTAAATTAATTAATTAAATAAAAGAAATTATTATTAAAAATATAAGTAATATTTATAAATAAATTATAAAATTTTAACTTTTAATAAGAATAAAAATTAAATCAAATTTTGAATTTTGAATTAAATAAAAATTTA